AACAACAATTATAGGAAGCTTTTGGTCCAAAAGGGTTTTGTTTTTCCACCTTTCGATAACTGTTTGAAAGAAATTGTTTTCATTCTTTTTAACTCTTGGTATTTCAGTTTTAAAGATAAATTAATGGCAAAAGAAACACAGAAGGGAGCTTTACTTTTGAAACCAATTGAATACAACGACTCAGTCATTAGCCTTTTATGATTACGCAAGCCTATTCCTTTTGCCAGGTTTTCGTTCTAGATCTTAAAACAAAACGAGAACGAGAAGAAATTTAGTTGAATTAAGGTTAGTTTTCCTCAATGAACAGTTGCTTCAGGAAAAAATACAGAAATAGACGGGGTGAATAAAGCATAAGTTTTGAAAATAGCAAAAAAGAATTATTTTTTATGTCAGACTGTTTTACCAAGACCACAAACAAATCCAGCAATCTGTTTTATAAGTTGTTCTACTTGATCCTGTGTTCTTTTGCGAAAACGTTTTAAAAAATTGGCAAGTGTACATGCTTTCCACCACAGTTTCTGAGATTTTTCGAGACGATATTCTTTGGCCTTGGATAGGTATAGATGTTTCTCTTTTTTTCACTGTCGAACTAACTAGTCCAACAGGTTTCTTAGTAGTTTGAATAGTTACGGGTATACTTGGCAATTTGGTCCATAACAAGGTGGCAAAAACCAGACTTAAATTAAAGCTTTTTGCTTTAAAGTAACAATTTTTTTTTCTTTTTTGGCCGTTTTTTGTTGTTTCTTAAGACGGGTACTCACTCGATAGAGAACTGATTAGCATTAAACACCAACGTTAAAACGCGTAAAGGCCAATCGCATAAAAAACAGGAGACAAGAAATTTTCTTTTTAAATTATCGTTTGATTGAGCGAGTCCTAGGATAATGGGTGAAGAAAAATAAAGTCGTTTTCAGTGAAAGCCACAAGGCCAAAGAGACAAACTATCAGCTGAAAATTAATTTAGAGTATGTATGTTGATATCTATTCAATCACACTGATGAACATTTTCAAAGTCAAATATGTCACTTGAAAGATGAACGAACATACGTCACAACTTATTTTTACATGCTTGCATATCAAGCAAACACGATCACTGAAAGATCATAGAATGTAGCAGGTGTTTCCCGGCAAATTCACAGTTGACGTACTAAATTTCAATAGCTTTTAAAAACTTTTACCCATGTGCTTTTGGTAAGAGTAGCCTAGGTTTAGTTAAAATGTTATTTTCAGAAGATACAGATTTATTAGAAAATCAACGTACTGTTCAGTGGAAACAAATCTGGAATTTATGTTGGAAGCTTCAACACCAAAGTTTGAGAATTAAAAGACAGTAACAAAGCACTTTAATTTGTTCACTTTGTAACATTTTCCAAACGATCTTTGTTTTACTTTTTACCGTATTGACAACAAAAGTGATCAGAATGGAAAATTATACCAAAAGTGCACGAAAATATTCAGCACTCAAACTTGTTTACATCAACTCATTCTACGACATGAATGAAGGACAAATTAAATTTAGCGCTGAAAAATAGCTTTAATAGCGACACATTTTATGCCAATTTTTTTGGCGACTTCAATCACTGCTGTTAAATTTTAAAAGCAAAATACTGTACTCCAAAATACTGTAACACTCTTAAACAAGTCGGTTTGTGTAAGTTGTTAAGATAAACAAATATTATGATGAACAAACCACTGTCAATGTGTTGATGTTTTTGATATCGACAGATTTAATGGCAATTTTTTGCGACAATCATTGCTGAAAAAGTTTGAAAGCGAAAAACAAGTGAAAGCCCGGCTAATGAGAACCAACGTTGAATAATTAGTTTATGAATACACAGCAAACATTTATTGAATAACAAAAAACATCTTCAAACTAAAATTGAATATGACTAATGTGTCTTGCGCAACTACAAAATACTGAAACATTCGTCAACAAGTTTATGTAAGTAGACAAGATTGTGAAAATATTTTGAACGAACAAACCACTGAATCAGATACGCGACATGTTTATTTTGTGTAAAATTTCTACAATACGCGTTTGTAGGAAAACTATTTAAACGCACGTGTTTATTGTGGTCTGTATAACAAGATTTATTATTAAAAAGTCATTGGATGGGAACTACAAATTTAAGATTTTTTAAAAACGAGACGTTGGGTTTTATAATGGGTTATTCTTAATTTAGGTAGAAAAATCTTTTCCAGCTTGGACTTGACGCAGCACAGGACAAATTGAGGAAAAAAAGCAATAAATTATACACACACCGAGTAGGCAATTATATTGATTTATGATGCGGAGAAAGTTGGAGCAAACCAATTGTATATCTGTGATCTAAAATACTCACTTAGTTCAAGCTTTGCTCCAAAGGCATAGTTCATTAAACTTGGCAAAAACAATTTGAACAGAAGCAATTTGTCTTGTGCTACAGACATGTTTTCTAAGAGCTGGAGAGGGTTTTTGTTGGCAACATGGCAAGTTATAAGTCGAGAAAAAATAATAAAATTGAAGATTACAGTATCGTGAGCTTGAATCACAATGGCTTAGAAGGGGAGGAGAAAACTTCAAAAGGCGGTATACTTTCGCCACGTAAAAGGTTTTAATTTTTTTTATAAAAAATATTTTGTTTGGACTTTGATTTCTGAATAGATATAGGTTTCTGTAGTTTCGAATGATTTATAGCTTGCCATTTTTGCCTTTAATTAACCGCCTTAAGGACAAGTAACACAAGCAATATTTTCTTACGACTACTCGCGCACAAGGTTTCGTTGCAAGTTGAGATTCAGTTTGTTGTGTGTCTTACCATCTACCTGTTCAATAAATTTTTGTGTTGTAAGAAGTAGAAGATACTTCTACTCCTTGCAACATAAAAATTTCTTAAGCAGGTAGAAGGTAATACACGCAATAAACTGTATCTTNAATACTCACTTAGTTCAAGCTTTGCTCCAAAGGCATAGTTCATTAAACTTGGCAAAAACAATTTGAACAGAAGCAATTTGTCTTGTGCTACAGACATGTTTTCTAAGAGCTGGAGAGGGTTTTTGTTGGCAACATGGCAAGTTATAAGTCGAGAAAAAATAATAAAATTGAAGATTACAGTATCGTGAGCTTGAATCACAATGGCTTAGAAGGGGAGGAGAAAACTTCAAAAGGCGGTATACTTTCGCCACGTAAAAGGTTTTAATTTTTTTTATAAAAAATATTTTGTTTGGACTTTGATTTCTGAATAGATATAGGTTTCTGTAGTTTCGAATGATTTATAGCTTGCCATTTTTGCCTTTAATTAACCGCCTTAAGGACAAGTAACACAAGCAATATTTTCTTACGACTACTCGCGCACAAGGTTTCGTTGCAAGTTGAGATTCAGTTTGTTGTGTGTCTTACCATCTACCTGTTCAATAAATTTTTGTGTTGTAAGAAGTAGAAGATACTTCTACTCCTTGCAACATAAAAATTTCTTAAGCAGGTAGAAGGTAATACACGCAATAAACTGTATCTTGCCTTGCAACGTAGCCTTGTGCGCGAGTAGTTGTAGGACAACATTGCTTGTATTACTTCTTCTTGCTAAAAACTTTATACTCAAACTTGTGCAAAAACATTTTGCGTGAGGTGCTGTATTAAAGTTTTACGGCGGAAATTTTTGCAAAGTGAACTCTATCATTTTTTGACACAAAAATGTTGTCAGGGGAAACGCTGTGCAAATTTGCTCAGATTTTCCCGCCAAAAGACTTAGTATATTTTTTGAAAAATTTTTCTTGACACCTTTTTAATGAAAATTACTTAACTAATTAAAGAAATAAAACATTACTCAACTAGACAAAGTGTTGATTGCTTTATTGTATTAGAAATAGAAATAATAACTTAGCAAACAAGAGAGAAATAAAAATATGAAAACGACTTGAAAAAGTTTGTTTATTTTTATTAATAGTAGTAGTTAAAGTAAATAAATTTTCATTTTTTTAAAAAAAAAATACGACGCATGCGCCGTGGGCGCGCCGTATTTTTTCTAAGTCTCTTGGAGCCACATTCCAATCATATTTTCGTGAAGACAAGAAATTAACATAAAAATTTACCATGAACACTATGATTTTTCAAAACAAAACTGTGAAGAAATTATTTCTTACCTGACGAACTGGACGGGAAAAAAATTTCTTGAAATACTCACGAAACGAGACTTAGTTTTTTTCTTTCCGAATTAAAAAAAATGTCGGGTGGTCTGAATGGCGCTGCACTGCCAGCTTACACGAACTTCTTGTGTGTTTTCTACGTTTATCGGCACATTGGTAAAGAAAATAAGAAAGTTGACTGAGCGCAGCATCGTGCGACTTCGAGAGTAGTACACAACACTGTCAGTCAATATTCATACTTTTATTACCACTGGATCGACTTTAAGCGCTGAAAATAGTTTCCGATTTGTTTACACTGTGTGGTTGGCCAAAATGTGAAAAACGTAAATTGTTTGCTGAAAAACTAGCTTTGAAATTTAATTTCTTCGCCTTCAGAATTTATGGATCTCGTTTATCGAAAATCTTCATAATTTGTTGTGCCCGGAAAGCTATAATTTTCGCACGATGGCTCGATTTTAAAGTCGGATTACTTAGGGCTTGTTATTATGAGGTGAGCCAGCCTGGTTAGGCAGGCGGGCTGGGTCGGCTCATGCCTCATTTCCTCTTAAAATTGTCGTTGTGTTAATATAATATAATATTCAAGGAACCGGGATCTCGGCAAGCGGGCCGGCCGGCCTTCTCATATAAACACAACAATTTTAAGAGGAAATAACGCACGAGCTGAAGCCGAGCCAGCACGCCAAGCCAGGATGGCACACCTCATATGAAAAGCCCCCACAGGCTGAAACTACGCTACGATTGTGTAAATAATGATTCTAATATAGCTCCGAGCACAAAAATTATAAAAACTTTCGAAACAGCGGGCCACATAATTTATCGAAGCCATTTAGACCACCCGACAACTTCCGAACTGCTTTCCTTTCTTGAAAAATCCTTAATTACAATCTGTTCTCTACCTTTACTGTGGTACCTCTTTCTTCAGTTTCCAAATTGAGACGTGATCCAACCAGCAGCGGCAATTGTTCTGTTGAAAAAAAAAAAAAGAAAACATTAGCATCTTCAACAACCTTAAAGGCTATTTCCATAAAAAATGCACGAGTTTTACCACTTGAGAGTTGGAGTGTTGATCAAGAAGGAAAACATTTCATAGAACGACAGCACTGACTTGACATTCCTAATTACAACCTTCGTTCTATTTTTACAGAAAACGGGCTGAAGGATGAATCACTGAATTAAAAACATGAATATACTTGGTGATTGAGATTTTTGTCAAGACAATTGCTTTGTATAAATTTGATCATATTTTAAAATGTGAATGTATAATGCTAAGAAAAACAACGCGCGATTCCCCAAATACGTAAACAAACGGAACTACCTCTTCTAGCTCTAGTATCTTAAGCTTCAAAAGAAAAAAACGAGAGAAAATAAAAGAGGTATATACGAAAAAAATTCACGTTCTTTATCTGTTCTATCTGTTCAAAATCACTCGTTTTAAAATTCTTCGAAAGAAACACGAACGTGTCCGATAAACTTCACCGAAGATGTCTGAAAGATTCCGAGGATACTAATTGCTGATTTAGTACCAAGGTATTCCGCATCATCCCACTTACATTTATTATCCTCATTTCTTCAGCTATGTAAACAGGTTATAGAAAAAATACTTACGGTCTAAAGTCGAACAAGAACTTATTCACTTTTGATTGAGTAGTAAAAGGATCGATTGGTAATAATGTTACCATAGCAACGCATCAACGACTTTGGAAATAGCTATGACACGCAATTTCACCAATCAAACTGACTATCAAACTGACTGAAACTATAAAACCAGCAGCTAAAAGCTTAATATTTTAATGGCATAGCAAAAACGAAAGAAGCCAAAAAAATAATCAATACTAATAAAATACAAAAATAAAACAATAATTGGAGATTGCATTTCGTGTTAAGTCTGTTAGTTTATCTCTGATGTCTGGAACTTGGAATTACAATAATATCAACGCAGAGAAATTGTTATCAAGCTGTAAGTTTGTCATTTCCGAGTAATCTCTTCTAGCGTTCACTTTCGTAGCCATACGCTGTCAAAACTAACAAATTGCACTAAACATCCGTGAAAAAGACCCTGTAAATTCCCATAGTTAAATGTTCTCGACATCACGATCACACTGAATGACCCACTCTCAACAAGTTTTTTTCCCAGTAACTAAAGATATATCATATCTTGATTCTGAACTGTTGAAGTACATTGGAAATAACAGTAACGTTTTAAAAATGCGGTGTCAGCTATTTTCTGAGAATTCTATGAAAACGTTTGACAGAAGAAGATAATCATATCTGTGATCTACGACAACATAGACCTTTTTCCAACACCAGGATAACCCAAGGAGAGGACCTTTAGAACACCAAGAATGGCGTTCATCAGATTAACAATACAATATTCGTCTACTAGAAATAGACCAAAAGATGGCTTGAGTAGTTCCATTTCCTTACTACTTTGGCAGTTATGCATTTTAGGAAGAGAAATTAAATTTTCAATCTCCTGACGGTCGTTATAGAATTCAACGAGGAAGGACAGAAAATCAGCCTCGAAAAATTGAACTCATGTTTGAAGGCACAAGTGCATTAAAGGTCCCATCTGTAATAACATTGGACCCATAGAGATCTGATGCAAATATCAATATATATCATACCTGAGAAACAAGTACAGTTATTCAAGTACAGTTATTCAGTTCAAGAAGATGATGGAAGGATAAATCTATTTTGAAGATGACGACATTTCCTAATTAAATACAGTGAAATAACACTCAACCTACACCCGCTTAATACTGTCTATGAGTGAATATCTAACAGTCAAATCAAACAGAAAAATGCGAATGACCTTTCCAATTACATGTAAATTTTAGTTTTATTTATTCAGCTAAATAACTCCAAAATCACGAAACAAAATCAGAACAATCAAAATTGGGCGGTTGTGGAATCTAAAAATTAGAGTTGCTGGGACTATGCCTAATTATTATACATCGTACTCATCATCTATCTTCTAATTGGCTTAAATCCTAGAGTTAATTTTGGAAATTAGTGCAACCTACAGGTTAGTTATATATTAGGTTGCGCGCGCATTACATGATTTCCAAGAGCAATGTCCAATCAGTTCTGTGCGACGGTGTATTGTTATTATGTATTTATTAACATTTCTTTTTATGCGAGCTTATGAATCGTGATGTTTTTATTTGTTATCTGATTTTTATCTATTGTGTACATTTATCTATTTTGTAATTAGCGTCTAGTTTTAATGTCAATTTCTTGTGATTATTTTTACTTTTTAGTTTTATCTAATTTTTGTAAACAGCGCCTTTGAATCTTGTAGAAAAGGCGCTATATAAAAGGATTATTATTATTATTATGTATTTTAAAACAATGTGTAATAAAACAATATTATCATTAGATTCGGTTTTCGTGATATCCGGAATAATCCAGGTCCCAGTAAGTGTTATCAACCTTGGCCTTCCACTCGGCTGAAAATACTTCCCTCGACCTTGATTATTCTGAGTATCACAAAAACCTCATCCAATCATTGTTTAATGTCTGCTTCAGAGAGATGTCCTCTAGCTTAGGGAAGGTTAACAATGTAGTGTTAACTTGCTAAGACTATGACTTACTCTCTCCTAAAGGGTAGTGTCTAAAAAGGGAAGGGTAACAATGTAGTGTTTGTATCTTGCTGGGACTATGACTTAGTGTCTGCTAAATGGTGGTGTCTAAAAAGGGAAGGTTTACAATGTAGTGTTTGTTAGTGTCTGCTAAAGGGTGGTGTCTAAAAAGGGAACGTTAAGACTGTCTTGTTTGCATCTTGTTGGAACTATGACTTAGTGTCTGCTAAAGGGTGGTGTCTAAAAAGGGAAGGTTAACAATGTAGTGTTTGTATCTTTCTGGGACTATGAATTAGTGTCTGCTAAAGGGTGGTGTCTAAAAAGGGAAGGTTAACAATGTAGTGTTTGCATCTTGTTGGAACTATGACTTAGTGTCTGCTAAAGGGTCGTGTCTAAAAAGGGAAGGCTAACAATGTAGTGTTTGTATCTTGCTGGGACTATGACTTATTAGTATATACACACTCAGTGATCTTGGTGATTTAAGCAATCTGATTGGTTCGCTATCTCGGACTATTCGACAACATTCACCTCCTAGCGAGTGGATAATGTGTGAGCTCGGTTTTTTTTTCCATTCTCTTAGAGAAAGATCTTTTAAAAGTCGACAAAATCTTAGGGTTGACTTTTTTTCAGGCAAAAAAAGACTTCGAAGGATTCAAAACGGCGTTTTCCATTTACTGTTGAGTTTTGTGGTCGATGGATTGTTTACCACTCCCGTTTATTCGCCTAGAAGAGACCGTTTCGTGAACTCAGCGTTTCCTAACAAGAAAAATTTGGCCCAAAAACGAAGTTTATTCACGAAAAACAAATTTGAAAGCAAATGTTTGCAGAAATTCTACGTTTCAAGTAAACACGAGAAAGAATGCTACATGAAGACGACGTCTTACCTCGAGGAACCGAATCGCCATTTTTGTCCGCACTTCATGCAAAGAATGAGACAACAAACCTCTTCGGCTATAAACTTGGCAAGTCAACAGAAAACATCAAAGCTCTTCTTTTCTTCTCAGGTAAGGAAACAATTCAAACTTTTAGCGGTTCCATTTAAGTCATTACGCTGTTGTTTGCGAAGTGATTAGCTTGTGAATTGCCATGTTTGAAAATTCTACAAAGATCTATTTTTAAACGGTCGCGTGTCTAACTGACCTGATCTGTCAATCAAATCGTACTTTTGAATGGTTTCCTCTCTGATTTTGTTGACATCACTTCGTTTGTATATACTAAAACAATTATTCTTTTCAATCTCGGTGAATAGTGGCTTAGGAATATTTGCCTCGCCACTTCGTGGCTCGGTAAATATTTTGCCACTATTCACCTCGATTTCAAAGAATAATAAGTGTCTAATAATAAGTGTTAAGTGTCTGCTAAAGAGTGAGTCTAAAAAGGGAAGTCTAACAATGTAGTGTTTGTATATTGCTGGGACTATGACTTAGTGTCTGCTAAATGGTGGTGTCTAAAAAGGGACTGACTATGACTTAGTGTCTGCTAAATGGTGGTGTCTAAAAGGGGAAGGTTTACAATGTAGTGTTTGTATCTTGCTGGGACTATGACTTAGTGTCTGCTAAATGGTGGTGTCTAAAAGGGGAAGGTTTACAATGTAGTGTTTGTATCTTTCTGGGACTATGAATAATAAATTAGTGTCTGCTAAATGGTGATGTCTAAAATGGGAAGGCTAACAATGTAGTGTTTGCATCTTGCTGGGACTATGACTTAGTGTCTGCTAAATGGTGGTGTCTAAAAAGGGACTGACTATGACTTAGTGTCTGCTAAATGATGGTGTCTAAAAGGGGAAGGTTTACAATGTAGTGTTTGTATCTTGCTGGGACTATGACTTAGTGTCTGCTAAATGGTGGTGTCTAAAAGGGGAAGGTTTACAATGTAGTGTTTGTATCTTGCTGGGACTGACTTAGTGTCTGCTAAAAGGTGGTGTCTAAAAAGGGAAGGTTTACAATGTAGTATTTGCATCTTGCTGGGACTGACTTAGTGTCTGCTAAAGGGTGGTGTCTAAAAAGGGAAGGCTAACAATGTAGTGTTTGTATCTTGCTGGGACTGTGACTTAGCATCTGCTAAATCAGGGTTGTCAAGAGTAGCTGGCAAAAATCGCCACCTGCTTGGTTAGTATCGGCCTGCTACTCTGCTTGGTATTTCTTTACAGGAGGCGTTTTCAATGGCTGCTTACTTTGACAACTCAGCCGTCTACTTCAAAACGTTGTGACAACCCTGCTAAATGGTGTTGTGTAAAAAGGGGAGGTCAACAATAAATTGTTTATATCTTGCTGGGACTATGACGTAGTGTCTACTAAATGATGGTGTCTTAAAGGGAAGGTTAACAATAAATTGTTTGTATTTTGCTGGGACTACGACTTAGTGTCTCCTGAATAGTAGTATCTAAAGAGGGGAGGTCAACAATGTAGTGTTTGTATCTTGCTGGGACTATGACTAATAAGTCTTATTGTCTACTAAATGGTGGTGTCTAAAAATGGACGGTTAACAATGTAGTGTTTGTGTCTTGCTGGGGACTATGACTTAGTGTCTCCTAAATGGTGGTGTCTAAAAATGGAAGGTTAACAATGTAGTGTTTTTATCTTGCTGGGATTATGACTTAGTGTCTGGTAAAGGGTGGTGTCTAAAAAGGGAAGGTTAACAATGCAGTTTTTGCATCTTGCTGGGACTATGACTTAGTGTCTACTAAAGGGTGGTGTAAAAAAAAGGGAAGGTTAAAAAAGCAGTGTTTGTATCTTACTGGGACTATGACTTACTGTCTGCTAAATGGTGGTGTCTAGAAAGGGAAGGTTACAGACATAGTGTTTGCATCTTCTTGGGACTATGACTTAGTGTCTGCTAAAGGGTGGTGTCTAAAAGGGGGAGGTTAAATGCTAAAGGGTGGTGTCTGAAAAGGGGAGGTTAACAATGTAGTGTTTTCATCTTGCTGGGACTATGACTTAGTGTCTACTAAAGGGTGGTGTCTAAAAAGGGGAGGTTAACAATGTAGTGTTTGCATCTTGCTGGGACCATGACTTAGTGTCTGCTAAAATGGTGGTGTCTAGAAAGGGAAGGTTACAAACATAGTGTTTGCATCTTCCTGGGACTATGACTTAGTGTCTGCTAAAGGGTGGTGTCTAAAGGGGGGAGGTTAAATGCTAAAGGGTGGTGTCTGAAAAGGGGAGGTTAACAATGTAGCGTTTTCATCTTGCTGGGTCTATGGTCTACTGTTTGCTAAATGACTGTGTCTAAAAAGGGGAGGTTAACAATGCAGTTTTTATATCTTACTGTGACCATTACTTAGTGTCTGCTAAAGGGTGGTGGCTACAAAAGGGGAGGCTAACAATGTAGTGTTTGCATCTTGCTGGGACTATTACTTAATGTCTGCTAAATAACGGTGTCTAAAAAGGGGAGGTTAACAGTGTAGTGTTTGTACCTTGCTGGGACTATGACTCAAAGTCTTCTAAATGGTGTTGTGCTATATTCTTGACCATCAATAAGGTGGGATGTGAAAAACTTAAAGTAGAGAAATCCTGTTTCATGTAGAAGGCCACAATTTTTCTAGCAGAATATTTGAGTCCATTCCTGGAGCTAAAGGAAAATAAATTCGATATTTTTGCTAAATTGTTCATTTAGGCTTTGCTGTATTTGTTTAATCAACAGATTGCTGCACTTAAAACTGTTATTAAGAGCTTTTCTGGGAAGTGTGGCAATGTTTGTTCTCCCAGGGTAGTTAAATTTTTTTATACATTATAGAAGGGAAGATTGAATGCGAATTTTACCCGTGAAGTGTGTTAAAAAGAAACGAATTAATGAACACGATAGCTAATTCACTCAGATTTCACTTTCAATCTCTCATCATTTTTATGGACAGGTTTCAGGCAAATAGTACTCTGATATATTCTAACTGTCTTAGCACACACACTTGTCAAAAATAATTGTGAATGGTTTTAAGAAGGAAGATTCACAGTTCAGATTTGATTGATCAACATGATCATGTTACTTTTTCAGTGTAATAGTCCTACACTTTGGTTCACATACTGAAAAGGTTATGCACAGTTCTACATAAAGTACCAAACAGTTGAAATCGGTCACATTGGTGCTAACTGGGCTTAACATCAGGACTTATTCTGCATAGCCTGCATAACAGGTGTTATTCGCTCAAGAGCAGGAGACATATCAAGCATGAAGTGTGAATAACATACACACAGAACGTAACACAAACATGGGAGAAAATGAATAGAGCGATTATCGCATGACCTTACCAAATGAGTTTTGGCAAGTGTTTGTTACATGTATTTGTTTTATCAGCCAATGGATAAAAAGATCAAAACATTGCCTCTTCATTTTCCCACAGAAGAAAACCCTCATGTGGAGGAGGCATTGTTTGATTGGCCAATCATGTTGTAGTATGACGTCAAAGTGAAATATTGGTTGATTTATAGAAAGTTCTCAGGCATGAAGTTTTTTCACCCGCACATCTGCTTAACTAACCAAAAGCCACATGTATTTGTATCTGTTTGATAAACCAATCAAATCGCTCTATTCCCATTTGTTTGTTGTTTCTGTTTTGTTCACGAAGTTTTCATTTCAAGGTCATACGAAAATCGCTCTATCACTTCCAACAGGTCATAATTATGGCAACCAGAAAACACCCATGCTCATACTGTATATTCGGGCATGCAAAAAATTTAAAACGGACAAATAAGCAACTAAGCCTAACAACAATTCAATAGAGGCTGCCATAGTATTACTGTGGAAAAAAAATCCAGAATATAACCACTAAAAAAGCTTGATTTTCACTGGCATTACACTGGTTATTGTTTTGGTTTCTTTTATGGGAACACTCATCAAACTCAGCATCTCTGAAATGTAAACTGTTTTTATGATTTCTTCCTTCTTAGAGAGAAGATTTTCATTTGCCAACAACATCTTCTTTTGTCCCCAAGTTCTTTGTTAAACAGACAGTGAGCTTAAATCAGGATTAGTACAAAAATGCCCTGAATGATATCAGCATTTTGGTTGGTTGATTCAGTGTTATGTTCAATCTGTCAATGTTGGTGGGCAAGTCTGATTGGTCAGAATTCGTTTTTGACTGCTTAAGGGTATTATCTTTCTTTCTCTTTCCTTTAACTTGTGCTCCACACTGTCTCTATGCTTCTTCCTCAACTGTGTCTTCTCATTCATGCACAGTTAAAAAACACTCAATATAATTGAAAGGTATCCTTTTTAGGGCATGTATATCTAAAAAAAATAATGTTTAAAAAAGTATCTGTTTTGGCTTAGGCCTGAAATATCTATCTTAGGCCTGAAAAATACTATTGTCCTGTCTGTTTGGTACTACATACGACTGGGTGGTGCATCACTTACAAACAAAATACTTGACAAAAACTTTAAAGAATCCAACTAAAAAGCGAAAAATTCTATCTGCAGTTGCTCCAATCTAGCTGCCTGCAATATAGCCTGCATAGTTGGCAGTTTTTTTGGTGTGTTTTTTCTTTTATGGTTTGTAATGTAAGGGATACAACCGTGCAAAAGTTAAGACGGTGGGGGAGGGGACAAGGGGCGAAGGCATTGAGAACAACCACCTACAATCAACCTCTTGAGATTTTTGAAACTCTGTCCGCCAGCAGGCATTCCTGATTAGTTGACAGAATGTAAAAGTTAACCTGTGTGCAGATGTCAGATTCCCAGTGGATACAAAATTCAAAGAAATACCGTTGGTCGCATTGCAGCTTTCAGTATTTGACTTGATTTGTGTTTGCTCAAGAAAATCTTCATTGCCAGTATTTTAGACAAGAAGAAGTTATGTATTCTAAAACTCTAAAGAATAATTTTTCAAAGCAGGCCTGCTGTTTCTGAATCAAAAAGATTTCAGAAAGATGAGAAAACAACTCAAGTTGAAAGTCACGTTGCAAGTGAGATTTGTGTTTGCTCAACAAAATATTCATTGCAAGAATTTTTAGACGCCAAAAAGTTCTGCAGTTCTAAAACTCCAAGGAATTTAAAAAGACTAGTTCTTAAAAGCAAGCATGCTGTTTCTGCACAAGAAATATTCTTGGAAAGGAGAAAAAAACATCTTGCACATTTCTTTGGCAAAATCAACTGAAACCATCAGTCACTTTGCATGAGAACTTTTGCCTTTAATTTGTCTTACGGTGTGTCAGGGATCAACACACATTACCCAAATAAGACTTCTATTAAAAAGATTCAATCTTTTGATCTGAAAGTTGAACTTTGAGTCCAATAATATGATCCAATTCTAATAAAAAAAATTTTTTCCCTTAATAATAAGCAGAAGGCAGTAATTAAAAAAAATTCAACAGAGATAACATCAAACTGTTTGGAACGACAGTTTGTTTTACATTGTGTGATGGCTGATGTCATACTTTAAAGCATGTCACATCACAGGTAAGCCAACTCCTCCTTTCGCAAGACTGGAAGGGGCCTTTCATAAATCTCAAGGGATTGATTGCAGATGATCGTTCTCATTGCCTTCTTCCCTCGCCCCCTCCCCCATAATTTTTTGTTTTGACCTCCGTTCAGTTTCCACGCAAATGTATCTCTTACTTTATGAACCATAAAAGAAAAATCAAAAAACAAAAAACGTCAGCCACACAGGCTATCTGCAATAGTAAAAGCCCAATAGCATGCTTTGTTTCAACAATCCATTCTCCATTTCTAGTAGTTTACAACAAACTTTATAATTATCCCTGATCTATAATCGTTTTGTAATCGCCTTTGTGCATTTTTTACCTACTAATGCTTCAAGGTCTGCAACCCGTAACATGTGTGCATGTATTCCTCTTTCCTCTATGGTCAACAGTTATTGCAACAACATTACACGCAGACAACAGACCCAAAATAACTAATTACTATAATTCCTAATGCCAAATTAAGTCTTATGCGCACATCTTCAGGTCCGCCTCACATTCTGACTCAACAACAAGGTCAGTAAAACTTTTGCAATACAATTATTAATCTGACCAAAAACTATTCTGCCATGAAAATAGTGAGGTATTTGCTTATGTTGCAACCCGAGGAGTGTGGAACTACCAAGAATTATTTTTGTTCAGAGTTTGAACAATATTATAGGCAATAATTGTTTATACATTAAGCTTGTCTCTAAACCTTAAGAATAACTTGTAGATTTTGAGCCTCTTCAGAATTTAATGATAACAACAAATGAATTTTGACAGGAAAAATCCTAAGAATCCTCAAATATAAGTATACATGTATGAATACTTTCAATGCACCACATTTAAATGCAGTACTATAGATAGAGACGGTGTTATACCCACTGTTCAGTGCTTTCAGCAGAAATATATAGAGTAGTTTTTCTTCTTTCAGTTTTTTTTTTAGAATTCTTGTAAGTTCTTGGAAATTCCTTACAGCTTGGATAAAATTGCACATCTGACTTATACCCTGAATTGCAGTCCCTGAGATGACAGAGCAATAGCAAAATCCGATTTCTTATCATTACAATGATTTTGGTGTGTGCCAAACAAGGAAAATGAAAATTAGTAATAATTGCAAAACACATTACACAAAGTATGATATAATAATTTATTATTATTATTAGATCTCAAGCTTCACCTCCCAAATTATTCCGTATGAAGAATGTTTTCCTGGACTGTTTAACAGCTTTCTACAACCTTGCAAGAGTCAAATGTTTCTGTTTGGTATCATGAGTGGGTGAGCAATTGCCTAATCACCAAGCAATGCAAACATATGACATAATCAAGTATGAGTGCTGCTGGCATTAACGTTCTACATGTATGCAAGTTAAACAGTATAAAAAATATCGCAAAAAGTCCCTCTAAAGACTTCTACACTTCTATCTTTAAAACAACATTGTTCAACAATATTTCTTTATGCAAAAAGTGAACAATATGCAGTGAGACGTTCAAGGGTTGAAGATATTTAAGTTTTCCCAGTCAACACTCTTAATCAATATGATGAAGGATTCATAGCAGAAGGGTCCTGCTTATCATTTTTGTCCCAAAATGGTAAATCTTTTTTCTCTGTTCATAACGATTTTTTGACTATGTACTGTTGATCTTCATCAGGTGATGGTGTTAATTTTTCCCTGCTGAATGTTTAGTGTTAAATGCTCTTTATATTAGTCTTGGGTACTACAGCACTTTGGTTGCATTATCTCCAAGAACATTGTTGGTGGTGCTTTGTTTGCACAGAAAAAATCATCAAAGAAAAATATAACAGTGTATGTACATTCAAAAAAGCCTTAAATGTAGACGAAGTGCCAACACTTTCATTCACAACAATTAATAAATTCATCAAGCTTATTTTTTCTTTCAAAAATTAAAAAGAAAATTAAGTGATCCGGTGACCAAAGAAAAAAACCTCGGAAAGGTAATCATCTTTCATTTCTGGCCTCTTTGTGTGACAAAAATTAATTTCTTTGCAGTACAAATTCCTGAACATGGAGTTATTCATTGCACCTATGAAAATGTGAAATGCATTGCATAGTTCCAAACCCTGAGTTCATTTTAAATAAAAGTGAATTTAATTTAATAATAATAAAATAATAAATCATGATTAGTTTGACTGTTTATATACAGCTGCTGAGTAGGTACAGCTGTATGTACTGTGTAGGTTATAAACAATACTAACCTGAAGTTTAATAAAAATCATCAGCTTGCTGTCCGAGTCCAAAGAAACCCAAGAACTTGTAACTTGCAACTTCCAAGGGGCCTTTTGTGTGCCTCTATAAGTATGAAAAAAATACATTTGTAATGAGAGTAACTTTAAAAATACTCTTAATACCTGGACCATGTTATGAAAAAAAATTCTTCATTCTAACTTTAAATCGGTAAAAAAAATCCTTTGATGCTACTAGCCAAATGAAAACTCCTTCGCAAAACTTTTGAATAGTAATCAAATTCCCAATATATGCCAAGGGAAATACTCCCCCATAAATTATTTTTGTAAAATCCTCAAAAGTAAAAATGGTTTACTTCTGACAAATTTTACAAAAAAGAAATTTTTGGCCTTTATCTTAAGCCTGTATTAGAGAAAGCCTGTGGGACAGGCACTAAATTTAGAAGAGAAAACTAGAGGGGCAAGGAATTCCTTTCTTTCACACCACTAACAATTCAACAGGCTTTTTTCTTTTAAAAAATTGAAAAAAATATTGTTAATTCAACTATTATGATCATATTTCATCTTGGTCTTAGACATTTCTTATTCACAAAAATGTTTGCAATGGGAAATGCCTGAAAATAAAATTATATACCTGAACTGAAATAAAAATTATTAGCTTGCTGTCCTGGTCCAAGGAAATCCCAGAAATTCCGGTTTTGAACATCATGTGGCTCTTTATGTGCCTGTAAGTATAACAGAAAAAACATTTTGTAACTAAGGTAACTTAACCCATAACTCCTAAACCACATTGTGAAAAACATAATTCTCATGATTCTAACTTTTAAATCTGTTGACAGATGAATCCTCACTGGCTGAACATTTGAACAGTAATTATGTGAAAGGTTTGAACCCAGGACTCATTTCAAAAGTAGGTTGAGTTTGATTGTCCGGGTGAACTCATCATGAAGTCATCTTCAGAGTCAAAGACGACTGTTTAACTGTGACAATAGACGGATCGAAATGCACCAATTACTGATTACGAGTCTTCATAGCCAATAACATCACGGCTTAACTGACAGACGACCAATAACATCGCGACGTAATTGACCAATCAGATCAAAAACCAGAGTATAATACCATAAACTGACGTGATACAACTCACTTTGACTCTGAAGATGACTACTGCACAGGTTGTCGAAACATCAGTCACTGTCAACAGCAACAGTACTATTCAGGACTACATTCACCCGAACGATCAAACTCAACCTACTTTTAGTAATTATTAGGTACTTCTGAGGATTTTCCAAAATGAATTTTAATTTTGGCCAGTATCGAAATGAAAGGATAAAAGTCTGTGGGCTGCAAGTACAGGCATCTCTGCTCCCTGCTTGGGACGTTTCACAGGGGAGACGTCAGTTATTTAGCCCCCAAAATTCCACGCTGATGACATGAATCAATGTTCACATAATCAATCTGGTAGTCATGGGCTCCAGATAAATTTGTTTGAATATTATGTTTCTCTAGCCTGCAAACAGACATATTTTCCATTGTCACTTCTCTCCACCCTAAAAGTAACATCTGCAACTTAGGGCCACAAATCAATTATTGTGACATAGGACATTATTAGCCAATCACAGTTTAACTCTTGGAAACCAAGAACTAACTCGCGAGAATTCTCACAAGATTGCCGCACAATGGATATGTTTACAAGTTGAAACAACTGGATGCCACGNAAAAAAATATTGTTAATTCAACTATTATGATCATATTTCATCTTGGTCTTAGACATTTCTTATTCACAAAAATGTTTGCAATGGGAAATGCCTGAAAATAAAATTATATACCTGAACTGAAATAAAAATTATTAGCTTGCTGTCCTGGTCCAAGGAAATCCCAGAAATTCCGGTTTTGAACATCATGTGGCTCTTTATGTGCCTGTAAGTATAACAGAAAAAACATTTTGTAACTAAGGTAACTTAACCCATAACTCCTAAACCACATTGTGAAAAACATAATTCTCATGATTCTAACTTTTAAATCTGTTGACAGATGAATCCTCACTGGCTGAACATTTGAACAGTAATTATGTGAAAGGTTTGAACCCAGGACTCATTTCAAAAGTAGGTTGAGTTTGATTGTCCGGGTGAACTCATCATGAAGTCATCTTCAGAGTCAAAGACGACTGTTTAACTGTGACAATAGACGGATCGAAATGCACCAATTACTGATTACGAGTCTTCATAGCCAATAACATCACGGCTTAACTGACAGACGACCAATAACATCGCGACGTAATTGACCAATCAGATCAAAAACCAGAGTATAATACCATAAACTGACGTGATACAACTCACTTTGACTCTGAAGATGACTACTGCACAGGTTGTCGAAACATCAGTCACTGTCAACAGCAACAGTACTATTCAGGACTACATTCACCCGAACGATCAAACTCAACCTACTTTTAGTAATTATTAGGTACTTCTGAGGATTTTCCAAAATGAATTTTAATTTTGGCCAGTATCGAAATGAAAGGATAAAAGTCTGTGGGCTGCAAGTACAGGCATCTCTGCTCCCTGCTTGGGACGTTTCACAGGGGAGACGTCAGTTATTTAGCCCCCAAAATTCCACGCTGATGACATGAATCAATGTTCACATAATCAATCTGGTAGTCATGGGCTCCAGATAAATTTGTTTGAATATTATGTTTCTCTAGCCTGCAAACAGACATATTTTCCATTGTCACTTCTCTCCACCCTAAAAGTAACATCTGCAACTTAGGGCCACAAATCAATTATTGTGACATAGGACATTATTAGCCAATCACAGTTTAACTCTTGGAAACCAAGAACTAACTCGCGAGAATTCTCACAAGATTGCCGCACAATGGATATGTTTACAAGTTGAAACAACTGGATGCCACGTTTAAAAAGGTAAATTTCCCAAGATTATGGAACTGATTGATGAAAAAGGCACCCAGCAGATTCATATCAAAGAAGATTAGAGGAACATTTTTATCTACTTTCCTAGGGAGTCAATGATGTATCACACTAAGCTGTTTTGACCACGTTTGCAATGATAAATGTTCTAATGATGGTAGACACCTCATGTTTGTTGTTCCTTAATGTTTTCTTTGCTGAAAAGTATGCTTTGGAGGATTCTTCGATATATTATTATTTTCTTCCCATGAGCTAAAAATTAATGTTATTTTAACCACAATCAATTTACTCTTTTAAATTTTTTTTTCATGCTGGGTCCAGACCAGGTTTACAAGGTGATGCTTGTAAGATGTTAAATTTTTAAAGAGTCAATGTACATTTTGACTCGCGAGTCGAGGATGTGCCTGTACTACCAATTCACAACTTTTTGTCAGCTTTGGACAAAGTTGCATAAGTGTGAGTCAGAGTGCAATGTCATAGCAATGATAATTTTATGTTTGTGTCACACACTGTTACTTTTATTTGGCAAAACCATAGCTTTACAACCAAGAAATCTTGTAATAAACTTGAAATTTATGTTCTAAAGGTTACTTGAAAAATCTTGTCAAAATCCAAGACACGCCAGCTCGCGAGGAGTCACTAAAGCTTTACACTTACTTTCATCCTCTATTCCGATTGGTCAACAACAAAATTGTATTGCGGCTCGTGTTTGCAAACATTACCAGTACTTTTTGGGTGGAGAGAAGAAAGGACCAATGTCTGCATGGCAGGGTAATGTTTCTCCTGGTCTATTTTTGGATATTATCTTGTGACCTTTTGTCTGTCATAAGTAAACAACGGCTAAACAAAAAAAGTTACTACATTAATCAAACAGCGCTCAATGACAAGATTCTGACAAATCTGTCATCAGTATGGAATTTTGCGGCTGTGAGAGGCCAGGAGAGACGGCTGCATTCATAGGCTAGTGAGACAGGCACTAGAAGAGAGATCTAGATATACGATGGATATTACATGTACCTCATGAAGATTATGGCACAAAAAGGAATACAAGGCAGATAAAGGAAGAAACAGGTATATGCATGAAAATTACTTTAACCAATGATAGTTAATGAACACTGAAGGTAATGAAGGTGACCAAACATTCAGTACAACTCAAAAGTAAGTTACTAGTGTGCCAATTAATCAAATGTAGTTGCTTTTATTTGCAAAATTCCCCTTAAATAAACAGATACCTTGTTGAGGTTCAAGTGATTACTTACTTTACAATCAATATAACATGTGATATGTGTTCCCCTACCCAGGAAACACATATCACTAGGGATATGTGTTCCCCTCCTCAGGAAACCCAAATCCCTAGTAAAATGTGTTCCCCTACTGGGGAAACACATTATCACTAGCGATATGTGTTACCCCACAGAGGAAACACATATCCCAAGTAGTATTTGTTCCCCTACACAGGAAACGTATATCCCTAGTAATATGTGTTCCCCTACACAGGAAACACATACCCCTAGTGATATGTGTTCCCCTACCCACGGAACACAAGTAACTAGTGATATGTGTTCCTCTACAAAGGAAGCACATATTGCTAGTGATATGTTCCCCTATACAGGAAACACATATCCCTCTTGATATGTGTTCCCCTACCCATAAAAACACAAATCCCTAGTGATATGTGTTCCCCTAGACAGGAAACACATATCCCTTGTGATATGTGTTCCCCCTCCAGGAAACACAAATCCCTAGTGATATGTGTTCCCCTGCACAGGAAACACATATCATATCCCTAGTGATATGTGTTCCCCTACCCAAAAAACACAACTCCCTAGTGATATGTGTTCCCCTGCACAGGAAACACATATCCCTAGTGATATGTGTTCCCCTACACAGGAAACACATAACCCTAGTAATATGTGTTCCCCTACCAGGAAACACAAATTCCTAGTGTTATGTGTTCCCCTACACAGGAAACACAAATTCCTAGTGATATGTGTTCCCCTACCAAGGAAACACATATCTCTAGTGATATGTGTTCCCCTTTCCAGGAAACGTATCCATAGTGATGTGTGTTTCATGGATATTGGAACATATATCCCCAGTGATATGTGTTTCCCTACACAGGAAACATAATTATATCTTTAGTGATGGTGTTCCACTAAGAAGGAAACACAAATCCCTAGTGATTGATTTGTGTTCCCCTACCCAGTAAACACCCATATATCCCTAGTGATATGTGTTCACCTACATAGGAAACACATATCCACAGTGAAATGTGTTCCCCCTACCCAGGAAACACATATCCCATATCCATAGTGAAATGTGTTTCAACTTCCCAGAAAACGCATCCCGGTATACCTATTGATAAGTGTTCCCCTACTCAGGAAACTCATATCCCCAGTGATGTGTCTTCCGCAACCTAGGACACATATTCCTTGTGATATGTGTTTCATGGGTAGGGAACACATATCCCGAGTGATATTTGTTCTAATACACAGGAAACACATATCCCTAGTGATATGTGTTCCCCTACAAGAAAACACATATCCCTAGTGACATGTGTTTCCCTACCCAGGAAACAAATATCAAGAAACACATACACCAGGAAACACAAATTCCTAGTGATATGTGATCCTCTACACAGGAAACACATATTCCTAGTGACATGTGTTCCCCTACCAGGAAACACATATCCCTAGTGACATGTGTTCCCCTACCAGGAAACACATATTCTTAGTGATATGTGTTCCCCTACCAGGAAACACATATCCCCAATGACATGTGTTGCCCTACCCTGGAAACACAAATCCCTAGTGATATGTGTTCCCCTACCAGTGATATGTGTTCCCCCTACCCAGGCAACACAAATCCCTAGTAATGTGTTTAGCTTCACAGGAAACACAAATTCCTAGAGAGATGTGTTTCCCTACACAGGAAACATATCTCACTAGTGATATGTGTTTCATGGGTAGGGGAACACTTATCACTAGTAATATGTGTTCTCCTAACCAGGAAACATATATCCCTAGAGATATCTGTTCCCCTAGAAGAAAACACATATCCCTAGCGATATGTGTTCCCCTACCCAGGAAACACATATCCACAGTGAAATGTGTTTCCCTTACCCAAGAAACACATATCCCTAGTGATATGTGTCCCCTACCCAGGAACACATATTCCTAGTGGTACATGTTCTCCTACAGAGGAAACACCTATCCCTAATATGTGTTCCCCTACACAGGAAACACAAATACCTAGTGATATGTGTTCCCCTACCCAGCAAACAAAAATCCCTAGTGATATGTGTTCCCCTACCCAGGAAACATTAATTTTATCTCTAGGGATTGATATGTGTTCCCCTGCCAAGGACACATATCCATGGTGATATGGGTTTCATGGGTATTGGAACATATATCCCTAGTGATATGCGTTCCCCTATACAGGAAACATATATCCCTAGTGATAAATGTCTTCCCCTACCCAAGAAACACATATCCCTAGTGATATGTGTTTCCCTACACAGGAAACACATATCCCTTGTGATATGTGTTCTCCTACACAGGAAACAAAAAATCCCTAGTGATATGTGTTCCCCCACACAGGAAACACATTTCACTAGTGATATATATGCTGTTCACAGACATAATGCGTTTTCAGTCTTTCATGTTCAAAGTGATATAAAATCATGACACAATGACACAATTCCTACCCAGGAAACACATATCCCTAGTGATATGTGTTCCCCTACCTAGGAAACACATATCCCCAGTGACATGTGTTTCCCTACCCAGGAAGCAAATATCCCAAGTGATGTGTGTTCTGCTATTCATGAAACACATATCCCTAGTGAAATGTGTTTCTCCAACCAGGGAAACACAAATCTCTAGTGATATTTGTTCCCGTACCTGGGAACACATATGCGACCCTCCATAATGATTTGATAAGGTGATGACATGCTCACAACACACTTTATGTTCATAATTAATTACTGAAACAATCAAGGACATGCAATGTTTTGTTTTGGTGTAGTTAGCACGCTATCCTTTTGTTTTTTATAGTCAAGTGTGATGGATGACACACTTAGTGTGCAAGTTGACACAGAATAACATGCTAAAGTAAAACAAAACGTACCTTAAAAAATATAACTCTTGTACAAATCGAATCTTTTATTGGATAGCCTCTATGCCAACTTCCAGTGAACAATCAACAAAATTTCCTGCTCATTCTGTGCTTTTGCAGTGAAGGTAAAACTGTTGATTGCCGGCTGTAGGCAAAAAATTTCCGCAGAAGAAAAGTACACAAGCAAGTACTTGAAATTGGCTTCTCTGACTAATTCCATTAAGTTTCTTGTATAAAAATGAAATCAAATGAATTTGTCTTAAAAAACCTTCAGCATTAAAATCATGACTGTTTCCCCTTGCTTTTAGCTGCCTTAAGAAAAGGTTAGGTTACTGTTGTATGAATTTAAAAAAAACTTTTGATGTGTGTAAAAGCAAGAGGTTTCAAATAATTTGAAACCTCTTGCTTATTACGTGTGACATGTAAATTTTACTTGCATTGGTCTGGAACAACCAAAGTTAGAGTTTTCGGTCAGTACAAACTACAGACTGCAGACTACCTTATTATCACTTATTTTCGCGCAACTTAAATTTTGCAATTTTGACGAATTACCAATTTCTAAGGTGCAGTCGAACCTCTCGGTACAGACATCTCTCTAATACGGACAGTTTCCAATGTCTCCACAAAATTCTCATATTTTCTTTAAAGAAAACCTCTATAATACGGACTCTCTCTAGTACGGACAACAGACACTAAATCTCAGCCCCAGAGAGTAAATTCAGATAAACTTAACCTCTTTATTACAGACACTTCGGTGATCAGGTGAATCTGCACGGGGTGGAGCCTGTCTGGCTGATGAGCTATGCAAAGTGATTTCTAAAGCCCAGTCACTGTCTATCCCAGGGGGGTTACTCGGGATTTCAAGTGACGGGGAAAATCGAAGGATTTTTTTGGGTTTGAAATTTTCGATTCCGGGATTTTTTTGGGTACGAAAATTTGGCAAGTATTTTGTAGGGATTTTTTGGGGGTATTAAAAAGAATCCGTAGTGCCCTGGCTGCGAAGTGTTGCGAGTAAAGTACAAACAAACATGTTTTGCTGTTGTTTAATAGGGATTCTTTTGGGTTTTCCTGGAAGCCCTAGGGATTTTTGGGGGTCTTAACTTTTGGCTCCATTCAATCATCCCCGTCACTTGAAATCTCGAGTACCCCCCTGGGCTGTCTATAGAACAATTTGTGAAAGGTGTACAGAGAAACATAACCAACATTTTTAAGGCTTGAATAACTACAGGTACATGTAGCATAAAGATCTTTTCTATTACATTTTGTACTCTAGTTACTGTTTACACTTGCAAAATAGTGAAAGCCTCTTTCAGAATTGTGCTTTACGTTACAACTTTTTACACGGAGCATTGGGCTGTAGCTCGTTCGGTTGTAAAACAGTGATTTGTCTAACCTGTACTTACTTTGTAGCTGAGATGAACAATGTCGTATTTTTCTATTTTTAACCATTGCAACATCATGCGCTTAAGTTAAAACACTGCTGTAAAGGCTTCGAAACAAGTAATGATGTCAGGATTTCAACCTGCCACTTTTGTAAATATATATCATGTTTTTGGCTCATTTCAAGAACAAAAACATGTTTCCTGAAATTCTGTGGAAGATGCTGGGGAAAGATGACCTTGGAATGGAGATTGCGTGACAGTATGTAAGTTATTATATTGGCGAGAAAAAAAAAGAAAACTATTTTTCTTCTCAATCTGCATTTTGTTAGCTTGTGTTATGTGGTCAAGGAGATTTGTTCAGTATTATTTCAACCTTGAACTTGAAGGTGCTCAAAAAGAAAACTAAAAGAAATACGTTTGTGATATTTGGAAAAAAACAGGCTCCACATAAACCAAAAATTCAAAGAGTCTGATTTAAATCCTTGACTCGTTTGTACATTTTTCTGTAGGAAATGTTTCAGATTTGTTTTTCTGATCATGAAGATGACCATTATCTACCAATAGGAGCTTTGGCTTTCACATTAAGAATGACAGTACGATGATTGCATTACTTTCGCTTCTCATCCAGTAAGTTTGCATGCAATGTAGCACACTAAGTTGCACACTTTCAAGACCATGGTGTCTAGCTTTTGTTATCAAAGGTTAACACGCTTTCTGTGTTAGCCTGCTCACACTTCATTGTTCTATGATGCACACTTCATTGTTTTTAGTATGTTGTGTGAGACAAAAGCATACAAGTATAGGCTCATTAAAGTGTGCTCTAGCGTGCTTTGTAAGCTGTTAAAGTCAATTTCTTTTGTTTGTAAGTGGAAGCATGTTGTGCGCGTGTTATCACCTTTGTCCCTGAAATCATGGAGGGTATTAAGAACAATACTGTTACAAACAGTCATTGTAATCCTTTCAATATATTTAATATATTGAAAAGATTGCAATCAAAACAAGGTAAAACTCCCTCGATGGCGAGACTTTTTCTCAAGATGCCACTTTCATCTCTCAAGAACCAAAATAATGTGAGAGGTGGATGTCTTATTTTTTAGGGGAACTGTTAATGAAGGTAGATAGAGCTAAAGAGATTGACATCGAGGCAGACCATTTGACTAAACAATATGAAAATAAGTGAATACAGATGAAGGAATAAACAATGTTAAGGACACAGAACAGTGATATCTGGATAATTAAGTTGTGTCAATACACATGAAAATACATGAAGTCACTAAACATAGACAACAATGAATGGAGGTTTACAAAGATGAAGTTAAGTTTCCAGGGAGTTATAGAAGGCCAGATAAAGATAACAGTGTGAGGAAAGGGGTGCTGTGATAACGATAAATGAATATGAAATGTAGATGGAGTCAAAATAAATAAAAGGGAATGAAATGAAATAAAGGCTGATGAAGGTTAAAATAATAAAATAATGCAGAATGAAGATCACAGTGACTGAACATAGGATTAGGTGGAGCCAAATAAAGTGAAAAGACTTAGTTTTTAAATAAGGTAGATGAAAGTGAATAAAAAATAATGATATAAATGAACGTAAATGAAGCTAATATTAAGCCAAACCCCAATCTTGGTGATTACTGAACCAGTGAATCATTACAGGAGGTTCTCCCAAGAAGAGAGTGGCTGATTCAAAACAACACCTACCTGCATGGTTGACTGGTCATTCTCCTCTCCAGCTGGTCCACATAAACCACAAGGATCGAGCTTCACTTCTCGTACATCCTATCACTGCTGTCTGTTAGTTTAAACAAAGAGAAAGGTATCACATGTAGCAGCTCTTTCATAGCATTAGAGGTACCATATAAATAATATTATTCATTCAAAATTTTTATCTGTTTCTGATTGGCTAAAATCACATGCATAATTCATCATGACCAAATTTGATGGTTTGTACAACTTCAGAAAAACAAAATTCAAGGAGTTTTAAGAACANGTTTAATAGGGATTCTTTTGGGTTTTCCTGGAAGCCCTAGGGATTTTTGGGGGTCTTAACTTTTGGCTCCATTCAATCATCCCCGTCACTTGAAATCTCGAGTACCCCCCTGGGCTGTCTATAGAACAATTTGTGAAAGGTGTACAGAGAAACATAACCAACATTTTTAAGGCTTGAATAACTACAGGTACATGTAGCATAAAGATCTTTTCTATTACATTTTGTACTCTAGTTACTGTTTACACTTGCAAAATAGTGAAAGCCTCTTTCAGAATTGTGCTTTACGTTACAACTTTTTACACGGAGCATTGGGCTGTAGCTCGTTCGGTTGTAAAACAGTGATTTGTCTAACCTGTACTTACTTTGTAGCTGAGATGAACAATGTCGTATTTTTCTATTTTTAACCATTGCAACATCATGCGCTTAAGTTAAAACACTGCTGTAAAGGCTTCGAAACAAGTAATGATGTCAGGATTTCAACCTGCCACTTTTGTAAATATATATCATGTTTTTGGCTCATTTCAAGAACAAAAACATGTTTCCTGAAATTCTGTGGAAGATGCTGGGGAAAGATGACCTTGGAATGGAGATTGCGTGACAGTATGTAAGTTATTATATTGGCGAGAAAAAAAAAGAAAACTATTTTTCTTCTCAATCTGCATTTTGTTAGCTTGTGTTATGTGGTCAAGGAGATTTGTTCAGTATTATTTCAACCTTGAACTTGAAGGTGCTCAAAAAGAAAACTAAAAGAAATACGTTTGTGATATTTGGAAAAAAACAGGCTCCACATAAACCAAAAATTCAAAGAGTCTGATTTAAATCCTTGACTCGTTTGTACATTTTTCTGTAGGAAATGTTTCAGATTTGTTTTTCTGATCATGAAGATGACCATTATCTACCAATAGGAGCTTTGGCTTTCACATTAAGAATGACAGTACGATGATTGCATTACTTTCGCTTCTCATCCAGTAAGTTTGCATGCAATGTAGCACACTAAGTTGCACACTTTCAAGACCATGGTGTCTAGCTTTTGTTATCAAAGGTTAACACGCTTTCTGTGTTAGCCTGCTCACACTTCATTGTTCTATGATGCACACTTCATTGTTTTTAGTATGTTGTGTGAGACAAAAGCATACAAGTATAGGCTCATTAAAGTGTGCTCTAGCGTGCTTTGTAAGCTGTTAAAGTCAATTTCTTTTGTTTGTAAGTGGAAGCATGTTGTGCGCGTGTTATCACCTTTGTCCCTGAAATCATGGAGGGTATTAAGAACAATACTGTTACAAACAGTCATTGTAATCCTTTCAATATATTTAATATATTGAAAAGATTGCAATCAAAACAAGGTAAAACTCCCTCGATGGCGAGACTTTTTCTCAAGATGCCACTTTCATCTCTCAAGAACCAAAATAATGTGAGAGGTGGATGTCTTATTTTTTAGGGGAACTGTTAATGAAGGTAGATAGAGCTAAAGAGATTGACATCGAGGCAGACCATTTGACTAAACAATATGAAAATAAGTGAATACAGATGAAGGAATAAACAATGTTAAGGACACAGAACAGTGATATCTGGATAATTAAGTTGTGTCAATACACATGAAAATACATGAAGTCACTAAACATAGACAACAATGAATGGAGGTTTACAAAGATGAAGTTAAGTTTCCAGGGAGTTATAGAAGGCCAGATAAAGATAACAGTGTGAGGAAAGGGGTGCTGTGATAACGATAAATGAATATGAAATGTAGATGGAGTCAAAATAAATAAAAGGGAATGAAATGAAATAAAGGCTGATGAAGGTTAAAATAATAAAATAATGCAGAATGAAGATCACAGTGACTGAACATAGGATTAGGTGGAGCCAAATAAAGTGAAAAGACTTAGTTTTTAAATAAGGTAGATGAAAGTGAATAAAAAATAATGATATAAATGAACGTAAATGAAGCTAATATTAAGCCAAACCCCAATCTTGGTGATTACTGAACCAGTGAATCATTACAGGAGGTTCTCCCAAGAAGAGAGTGGCTGATTCAAAACAACACCTACCTGCATGGTTGACTGGTCATTCTCCTCTCCAGCTGGTCCACATAAACCACAAGGATCGAGCTTCACTTCTCGTACATCCTATCACTGCTGTCTGTTAGTTTAAACAAAGAGAAAGGTATCACATGTAGCAGCTCTTTCATAGCATTAGAGGTACCATATAAATAATATTATTCATTCAAAATTTTTATCTGTTTCTGATTGGCTAAAATCACATGCATAATTCATCATGACCAAATTTGATGGTTTGTACAACTTCAGAAAAACAAAATTCAAGGAGTTTTAAGAACAAATTACAGTTTTCAAGGTCTAACATTTATTCAATAAATTGGCATTCTTTGACCCCCTTTTGAACACCTCACCGCCTGAAACACTCAATGACGTAATTTACGATTTTTACATCTTCAGCCATGGTTGGTCATCTCTTACATTATGGTGTACTACTTTCCTTAACAACACTACTTTGCCAAATGACAAGAGTCACTGGGTATGACTTGCAGTCTGACATACAGAAATAGTGTTTGAAATAAAGAAACACCAATGAAATATTGTTGCTTCCAGTTTTATACTGAGCATTTATTTTTGTTTCACTGTACATGTAAACTGTACCTTTTCTTTCCTATGCTCTAGAATCTAATTTCCCCGAAAATGATGTCACGGAAACAAAGTAGTGTATTTCAAAGACTTTTCAAGACAACTACTAAGATTCAGTCCCGGGTTCTTTCGCGCTAATGAAATGGCAGCAGAGTCTGATGTGTGTAAAATGCCAACTGTAGTGATGACAGGTCTTCCATGTAGTATCGCAAAAAAAAAGGCCCATTGCAAAAGAAACAAGCATCTTTGTTAACATTTTCGATCACAAGTCTAATAAAAGTTTCGGTCTCTTTATCCAAGTTCGCAGAAAGGCAACTTGTAGTGATTAAAACCAGAAATAAACCAGGCGAAAAAATCATTTTGTGCACATCACACTCGGCCGTCATTTTGTCTTTGGGAAAGGACCTGGGCGCCCAGAACTGGATCTCAATTTTTGCCTGGTCTCCAGGTCTCCAAAGGTAAACAGCAAACCATTGATCTACATATTTCATCCATCCATGGGGGGACATGGTTCATAAAACTTCAGACAAACAAATTTCAAGGACTTTTCAAGCCTTTTTCAACGACAAATTACAGCTTCTAGGACTAAGATTTTTTTAACCCTCTCTTGAACACATTTTTGGCTAAAACACATCATGGAGTCATTTACAACTTTAACTTCTTCAGCCATGGTTGACCACATTATTTTATACTACTTTCCGCACAAAACCTTTCAAAATGACTGGTGGAAAAAGCTATAAAAGAGTGTCAAGACTAACTTCATACAAACGAGCTGATGTACAGAAAAAAACCGAGACAAGGGTATTGTTGTATGAAGAACCACCTGCATCTCCGAGTTCTGACCTACGGTAACATGTAGGAACTGATTGAACAAATTGATTAACACATCGCCATCAGGGAAGAAGTAGTTTACCAACTGGCATAGAAGTGATGCTAATAAAAGCTTAACAGGGACAATACATGGAGACTTCTCCTTGGTGTAGGAGGATTTTAGTCTGATAAAGTTTTTCACAGATTTTATGAGTATTACAGAAAACGACGAAATACAGTTCACTCCCGATAACTCCAACCCTCACTAACTCGAACCAAAATCAATTTCCCCTGGATTTCCGTTATACATTTACTGTAATTTTACCCTCGGTAACTCGAAACCCTCAATAACTCCAACCTCCTGCTAACTCAAAGTAATTTTTGTTTCCCCTCAGATCTTTTCTAGATAATTTTACTCTGGATAACTCGAACCAAGTTTTGAGCCCTTAAAAAGTCGGAAAAAAAAAGTGTACTGGCATCCGAAACATTGAATATTGTATTTCCTGTTGACATGTTGTAGGCATACACAGTTGACTCCCGATAACTCGAATCCCTCGCTAACTCGAACCTCGCGCTAACTCGAACCAAGATCGATTTCCCCTGGATTTCTGCCATACATTTACTGTAATTTTACCCTCGGTAACTCGAACCCTCGATAACTCGAACTCCCGCTAACTCGAACCAATTTTCGTTTCCCCTCGTAAAATGAGGCTCTATTTAGACTATGTTTTGTTACATTATACGTTGTGATTTATAATCTGAAAGTATCTTTCAATTTTCACTTAACATTTCTACGATAAAATGTGATTAAAATGTTCACTGTACAGTTAAAACTGTTTTTCACCTTACTTCCGGCTATTTTCTTCGAGCTCCCGATAACTCGAACTCCCGATAACTCGAACTTTTTTGGATTTCCCTTGAAGGTTGGAGTTATCGGAAGTCGACTGTAATTTACTAGTGGGGGCTGATGCTGTTTGTCACAAATCTAACATGAAACAGCTCTACTTCTCGCATGCTCTATTTAAGAAATGTTTTTTTACGTTTCGTTCTGATTTATAATCTACAAGTATCTTTCAATTGTCACTTAACCTTTCTACAATTAAATGTGATTAAAATGTTCACTGTAAAGTAAAAGTGGTAATGAGTCCAGTAAAAACTGTTTTTTCCTTACTCCCGGCTATTTTCTTCGAGCTCCCAATAACTCGAACTTCGAGTGTAGAGACCTCCATCAGTGCACTAGCATTTTCTTCTGACATAACCATACTGGCAAC